TATTGTACAGAAAATATGAACAAATTTGTGGATTTCGGACTCGTAGAAGTGCGAGAATTTTTACCGTTGTTGGGAAAAAGATTGAAATACATAACTCAAGACATATCGATGTACGCTGAATGGAACGTTTTACTACAATTTATTAAGTATTCATCAACGCTTTTATTGTATATTCCAATATCAGTTATTGGCTCTTTGTGTCCAAGAAAAGTTAGTGTTATTATTTATTTTTATTTAAAGGTTCATCAAATTTTCAGAATTTCTGCATCAATGGTCATATCAAATTATTTATTTGGATACTACACTACTGCTGGTCTACTTTTTGTGACCCTGACGTTTTTCTTCATAGGATGGCTTTTACATGGTCACCCTATCCTAATTTGGATACAACTGATTTTTACTTTCCATTATGCCAACGGCATAATAGAAAAATTGATGATGAAGGTAAGCTTCATCATACTTTACATATGTGGTGGAATGTTGGATGCAATTCAAATGAATCAAACTGAGGAAGCTGAGAAGCAAATTACCGATAAGATGAAACGGCTTGAAGATCGAGCTACACATCATTTTGTCTGTCTGAAGATCTTAAACCCGTAGTCTCTAACGTGTCCCGCCTATATGGTCTACCCAAAATTCACAAACATGTTATACCAATGCATTCCATCACCTCCACGACAGATTCAACTCAGCACGCATCTGCCCGTTATCTGGCAAAATACCCATACGTCAACTTTTCACGAATCATACACTTGAGGATGCCTTTCAGGTTTTGAAATAACCAAAAGTGTGAACATTAACGATCGACCAATGTTCTCTTTGGATGTTGCTTCTCTTTACAAATGTTCCCCTGTTAAAATGGTCNNNAAGAACTTCCACTGAGATGCATACGAGGTGAACAATTTTTCTTTAATAACATCCAACCGCCAAGTCCATGGTGCTGTTATGGGTTCACCCCTCGGACCTTTTTCGTCGATATATTCATGACAAAATAAGAGATAACTTCCTTATCGATTAGTTGCTTTGACCAATGTCGCCGTTAGGTTGATTACATTTGTGACGTGGCTAACAGAAACGCTAATCTTGCCCACTTTGAGTCATAATTCAACGCAGCACATTGGTCAATTATGTTCACAACTGAACCAAAGGAGAATGATTGCCTTCCGTTTTTGAAGGTTCATCGAACCAGACACCCAGATGGCGTTATCCAAAGAAAGATATATTAAAAAGCAAAACAGTAAAAAAATTTTGATAGCTTTGTCGCACCCTATGGAAAAACATAATCCCGTGTGCTGTCTCTTGCAGAGAACAAGACGTATCTGTTCAGAAGATACTTTAAGGAACTAACTTGAAGTAGGGAGAAAAACCTTACTGAGAAATGACAATCTTGAGAATTTTATCAAACGTAATTGAACTGAGCAGCACAAGTCAACAGAAATATCAAAAGTGGAGAAGAAAATGCTTTTAGAAAACCTTCATTCAAGGGTGATATCGCCACTGACAGGGCCAGTAGAGTTTTATCCTAAGCAGTAAAATCCAAGTTTAANTCCGATACTACAAAAAAGATAAACTGCTTACGTTTACTTCATCTATGATTGTTTACCAATTCACGTGCGTCTGTGGTGCGAATTATATAGGTCCAACGACAAGGTAACGGATCAAAAACACATTCCACGCTGGCTCATACAGGGTAGAGGTGGAGCTGTGTCAATCTCGATTGTTGCTCATTTTGTAGGAACGGGACACTAGGTCCACTTGCGCTCGGTACTAATGACCATTTACTCATTCTCACCACTCCCCTTAAGAGCAATACGGTTTCGGACGTTAGGAATCACAGAGGCTATTAGCATCCGACTCATGAAGCCTAGGCTGTGTGAAAAACGAAAATTGATTCAAGCTCTCAGACTCCATTGATCAATGAAAGAGAAACTCGCTTGTTCACATGACAATGACGTAACGGAGCGACTTTAGTAACGTAATCCAAACAGAGCGGAAATTCGGAGTTCTCTTGGGTTCACTGCCAAACATATGACTCATCCAACTTTATGTTTGACCTTATTGAAATTTTTCCATATGAATGTGATTGTAAATGCTTGAAAAGGAATTCAACAAAGACGTACATCTATAGTGTTTTTAATCATTGGGTATATATCGTAATTTGAAAATTGATAGCAACATAATTAAATGCAAGGAATTTACATTCCATTTGTTTAAATTCTAAACGATTCTTTAGTTCCGTGTGGGTAATGGAGGATTTGGTTAAATTTCAAATGACAATTCGTCATGTATATAGCAAATGAAGCGTGAACTGAATAGCTCGGAAGCACTGGACAGCTGATGAGACCTAACCAGGTCGAAAAAGCCGTCAGGTTGTGAATGTTTCCGACCGAGTCATAACCCTGGAGGCTAGTGCTGAGTTGAGCAGGGTCCGTGGCCCACAACAAGCTCTCGAAGATGGGTTGTGCTATATCGTATAAATGGAAAATGAAAAAAGGTCTGATCAGCTGCCCGGTGGCGTAGTGGGTAGCACGCTTACGTTCTGACCACGAAGTCCCCGATTCTTTAGTTGCTCGTTCAATAACCGGAACTTCTCCACGCTATTAGCAAGAAATGCAAAACACGTGAAAATTCGGAGTTACCTTGTGTTCTTCAAGTTACATGATCCACAGTCCTTTGGAGAATTTCTACTTCCTAAGGAAGGCTTAGCGCAACGGTTTCTCGACGGCATCTGTAATTACCAACCTGTCATAAGAACCGAAACCTACTGTTCAGTCCTGGAGATTTACTTTCCTGTAAACCTACTATAACAATGTATTCTGTTGTCCTCTTTTTGTATCGTTTAATTGAATTACAATTCAGGAACTACCTGAATAACTAACTATGGAACCTAGACCACCTAGGAGTCAAAGCGTCATCTAGGTGCCCCTTGGCAGTTGATTGTTTACCCCCTAAATTACCATGTGAAGCGTTTACTAAGTATCCCAACAGACACAGTAAAGGAATACTTCAGTGATGATCAAAATTATTCCAATGGCAGACCTTTAAAAGTTCTCATTTTTCCCGATCAATTCACCCATCCTTTACTATCATCTTGGATCCATTTTGTTTATTAGTTACTACTCAAGGTTGCGTAACTATTTAATTACTGGAGTATTTTCATTGAATTCAACTGCGTAGCTCAAAGGTGATATGTTTATAATCTACCTAAGAGCATAATCATGGTTTCTATGATCACCAACATTTAATTCATCATGAGCTCTAACCAGCGTGATGCACATGACAGTGTGTCACAGTTTTATTAATAACTTCAATGAATAAACATTTTATTATATTTCTTATTTATAATCCTATTATTAAAGTGTAATATGGAGGAGGTAATGTTGGAAAGTCGCTAGGTTATACGGTGATGCAATGGTATTAGGGTCAATCAAACAAATTACTAGTTGTAACTAATCCCATTATGATGCCGTAGGATCCACTTCTGATGTATTCTGTCCATTTATTTCGAAAACCATGGAAGTGTTTAGAATAACCTACTTTGTTTAGCAATAATTAAAGAAGCTATATTGCTAAACGCAAGAATACCGAAGTCTCATGAAAATACAATAAAAAANAAAAAATTGGCGTGTTATTTATTCTGATGCATTGTCTTTACAATTGCTTCCATTACGTATGCATGGTACAAAAATATCATGCATTGTCCTCAACATAAGCACAATTTAATTCTCTTGTATTGAGTAGTAGTGATCTGAAGGTTTAGCCATTTTCACCGATTTGAATCCGATCCCATGGTTCAAGGCTCAAACCCAACCACAGTCCCCCAAATTTAGTGGAAGGCCGCTTTACTGATATGTAGTTCAATAATACACCTGACTTAGTGATTTACCACTCCAAGTTCCGGGGCTTAGGTTGCCAAGTTCAAACACTAAACAGCCAGTCTTCACAATTATAGGGCCCACCCGGTCTGTTGTTCATCAGATAGATGTATGTCATGAAACAAAAGTAAACCCGGATATCCAAACTGCTAATTAAAGCACAATCTAAAAGACCTCAAAGTGTTTTAAACTAACTTTATTCCGTCTTACATAGTAATTGGATCAATAACTGATCACCGATACTACTATATAGCATGCATTGTGAGGGAATTTATTATTTCACGAACCGTTATACCAGTTGTTAAAATTTCTTCTGAATTTCATTGTAGTGCATCATTTTCCGAATATATACTAAATCTGATAGAAATCACCTCTAAGCCTCTGTAAATTATTGGCATATTTTCACGCCTGTTTGAATAATTGTCAGGTGTTTTGCTCAAATGATGACTCACAGACACAAGCGAATCCGTCGCTTTGATTTTTTCTTGAATGGTCCTTATTAACAGGTCTTTAGCCAATCATCCATGAGTATCAGTAAATTTCAGTCCTCATTTTCGACGGCCGTAATTCGCGAAAGTTAGTTAAAGTTTCCATATCTATGCATAATCATAATATTTGGGAGTATTTTCTGCCCTTCTCGTTTGACCTACTATCATGATAAAAATAATTATAAGTAGGTTTCAAAAGATGAATGTTATTACAGAAACTGTTTCACAAAGATTTATATAAACAGGTTAAATACTTTTGACATATGACACACTTGAGTCAGTAATTCAGATTTCACAGCTTTCTGAACATGACAGCTTACTAATAAAGCATATTTCAGAACATTCCAAGGAGTAAACATTATTGTCTCTAATAGGTTTATTCGAACATAAAATGTTGGGAACGTTACTAGTCTCCGGAGTGAATTTTTAGGTGAGACACGATAACTATGAAATAATAGGAAACATTCAAGCAGTAAACAAGACAAACTGGTGCAATCAATATCTAGGATAATTTTTGCCGAGCTGTTTCTAGATCATGTAAATGCTCATCTTGTGATTTCATCTGTTTCAGCAACTACAAACGTTTGACAGGGAAGTCGGACATGTTGTACAATCCGCAATTTATTCTCTGTACTTTATGGCCCTTCTTCGTGTATCCAGTCTGTCACTGTTCCTCTGTAATCGACCTGCAACGGGACCAAAGTGTGCAGAAAGCACACGGGCTAATGGCTACACAGAATCGGACCACAGAACAGCAGTACAAGAGTCGCAAGCCCCTTTTATGTGTACACTCTTAGACGCTACGGAATACGCATTCTATTTGCCAACGATTGTGTACGGTCCTCTAGTTGTCTACGCCGACTGGGATGATTTCGTGCATCAGGTAAAATGGGAACTCATACTATGTTCACTGTTGTCCTCGTTGTGTACCACGTAGACATCGACACTGAGCAGTACTTTTGATATCACGAAAGCTTAGTATTGAGCGGTTCAATTGAAAGTATTCAAACATTGCAATAATAATAAAAATAATTAAGGTACTCAAAATTTATTCATAAATAGTCACATTACTTTGAAAATTCCTCGTATCTTCCGTAGTTCGGAAAGTGCCAATAATTTTTCGTGAAAAATTCTTTGAATTTGTAGGAACCCTAGAGGCATTTCACCTATCACGCAACAATGTATGAGATTTATATTATTTGATTGTGAAGGGGCCAAATTTCGTTCTGCACCTATTATTTAGTACACCATTGATTAAATACTGTTGCACATGACATTTCAGCTGTACAAGCTTTACAAAATCAGAATGGCCGAGCATTCAGCAAATCGTATGGTTGAAGAGCCCATTTTCAAAGTCGGCTATTGCCTCGAATGTGGTATTCTCACCTATTTTGAGAAATTAAACTACCAAGATAATACTGATGTGGACTAATCGGTAGTCTAGTTAGATGGTCTTCTGCGCACTAGATATTTCTTTGAAGTCACTTTTACGTTTTCCTCCCACAGAAGAACGCAGATTAATGGCCGTAAATAGGTATCAAGATGACGCAACTAATGGTAATCAAATACCAGCTAGCATCGGTTGAGCAATGAATTCGTCTATTCTTCATTGGTTATTTCGAGTAGATTTAAGTTTGCCAAACAATAACAACTGTTCAAAAATAAAGGTTTTAAAAGAGCCAAATACCTTGACAACTCCTTTTGTCGGTGATTAGGTGAAATATATTAATTAATTAATTATTGAAAAATTAAATGTATTTAGCATGCACTCTGGATGAGTTAAATAAGCACCGGAAGCAAAAGCAGTTTTAACTTAGTCCTTGGGGCTTGTGAAGATCAACTGGGATAATTCACAGGGAATATTCTCGATTAAGTCACTTGGTAAATCAGCGAGCGTAACGACTTCGTAAAAATTAATTTTAATTAGTTTTGATCGGCCTCACTTTTGAATTCCTCGTTTTATGTTCTCGTTTACACGCGATGAACAGCACAAAGATACCTGGTCAGGTGTTTGAAAAATAAGTGTCATTTATTTCTAAGAAATCCGATTTTTATAATGTAAACAGAATTACCTTGGGACTATATTTTGCTTAGCATTTTACGGAATTAGTTGTAGAAACAAATCAGTCACAAATTTTACATTACCTCTCATATCTATTGCTCAGTTGGACTTCGAGTAGATCAATATCTTTGAAATTTTTTGTCCGGAGGAAAAGAGCACTCTAGACAGCATTTCTATTGCTTGTGGGACTCTTCACACGGCTAATAAATCACCTGACTATTATCCCCATGTAAATGTAAAAGATTCATGAGTCGCTAGTGGGTGGAATATCACTAGATTCCTCAGTCCCAACCGGAGTCATAACTTTTGGAGAATTTCAATCAAATAAGTGAGATAGACGACAGTAACACAATTTAGCGGGCAATGCACTTGTGGTTTACTTTATCTATGGGATCCGGAGCGTTATCTCGTCATTTCAGTCAGTTAACTTGCAGTGCACTAATGTAACTAACCCACAAGGTAATAATAGTTGTACATAGATTCCTAGAGTTTCATCTTGCGTTTCCTTAGCGTCGTACACGCTATAATCGATCAGATGATCAGTTCAGATCAGCTCCGATGCTTTCTTGTTACCATAATAGTGCTCATGACTGAACTGGAGCAGCAGGTGAATTTTTTACTTAATTGTCGTGTGCTTCAGACCTGTCGAGTAAAGTGTTTTCATTCAAGGGTTATTGGAGTTCTATATCATCCTTTGGACGGGTAGGATCAGCCACTCAGGTATTGGCCCGTATACCATTTAATTAAATTTCACCTCTTCCTGTGTCATTCGTTGGGTATCTGGCTTCCAATTTCGTCTATCCCATATACATCAGGGCAACGCGGATAAAAATCAGTAGCACTTTAGCCGCAAAACTGACTACCAGTGACTTCACCGTGATTTGTGCTTATTATGTTTTTAGATCCTTGAATTTGGTTCATAACATGAACGATAGATTTATCGACGATTTTCTTGTGAAAGAAATTCAACCATCGTTCGATGTAAATAAATCCACCAACCTTCACTTAGTACAAGTTCTATGCGTTATCATTCATTCCTAACTCTGATACATGTCATCACCAAGCTCCTCGAATGGACATCATATATTTATGCAGTAGAGGAATAAAGAAGAATTCAAGTAATGAAAATTTCACTCAAAACATTTACGCTAAAAATATTACTTTATTCCCATGTGAGTACCTGCTTTCTCACCCATCTTCTCCTTGAAAATACCGTGTATCTTTTAGTGAACTGTTTAGTTACTTTTTGGAGGAGATCTTGCATCAATGTAAGGCACCGAATTCAGATTACTAGGCTTCAGTGGCTAGGGCACGTATTGCGTATGCCCAACCATCGTCTGCCGCACCGCGCTTTATTCACTGTAGCTAATCCGGACTGGAGGAAACCAAGTGGAGGTCAACAGATGACGTGGAGACGAGGCATGAAGAAATACATGGAGCCATTAGGTAGAGTAGGTGTCTCTCGCCTTCCAGGTTGGGGTCCGAAAGACTCCACAACTGATAGGTTGGAGACACTGAAGAATATGGTAGCGAATCGGCAGCAGTGGCGTTCTTGTTGTCGTTTCTTATCAGGTCAGAATGCTTAAAACGGTATGTACGCAGAGCTCGATTGGATACTGTGTGTTGACCATAGTGGCTCATCTTCTTCTCCCTCCCTCAAAATAGATCCAACCCCTGTCCACCTTAAATTTTACCACTAACCTTGTATGCATTGTGAGTTTGGCAGCGGTCAGTGAAGTTCACTTCACGATATTTCGCTGTACGATGATGATGACGATGACTAAATTTCAAACCGAATCCCATGGAAATAGACTTTTGATTGTCATTGTCTTTGTTTCCGATGAATACTCAATACTCAATATCAGTTAGAGCGTTTCATACTCGCTCAAACACAGTTTGTTTTATCTTTCCGTGTCCAATAATATTCACAGTTGAACACGGTTGATGGCTATAGTTGTAAAAAATTGGAAAAGACAACAGCAAATTACCGGGAAATTGTAAAGAAATCATCATCGTCGGGCTAGACATCGGGCACAGGACATTAGTAAATAATCGATTAAAACGACATAGTGCTATATTATTTCGAAAAATATTTTACTTGAAAAATGTCTGAAAGTGGAATAGTGCGTTCGAGTTAAGGGTCAAGAAATGTTCTATTCACCCGAAGGGCAAAGTCTCAGCAAGTTATCAATCTGTACCGCGTATAGATGTAAAATGGTGATAATGAAACCGGAATAAATTTAATCGCATGGTCCAAGGAAAAACTCTACTGCTGGATTCCTTATCTTGTGAGATACTATGTACAATTGTGACTGATTTGCAAAAAGATGCAACGGCGGTTTATTTCAACGGTCAAAAGTAAGTAACACCACTTAGAGAAAGTTGCTATGCTCGAAACAATAACTACGGACTGTTCCATTCATTACCCTGTGTACTGCCGGGAATTGTGAAGACATGTTTCAAGTGCAATATCTTGTTATATGTATGCCAAATGATCGCTATCCTAAATGTAATCTACAATAAATAACTATCCTCCACCAGGCACCGCCTTCTGGGAATTTTAACACTTACATTTAGTTACAATTCTCGTACAACTAATCAATAGATGGGTAAATTGTGGAGTAACATTGTTTCCACCATTGAATCTACGTGCAAGACGGCGCGGATATTTGGACCGAGTTCGCAGATTTGATACAGCTGTCTTGATTCCGGCATAACAGCAGTACCCTAGAGCACCTGCCATCTTGCCAATAAATTTATCATACGGGTTCAAATACTTGGAATCAAAAGTCAACCAAAAAGTTATCAAGCAATAGCAGTAGTCAAACAAAATTGCTTTGAGAAAGGAAAGTTAACAGCGCAGATTATTTGGGGCTAATTTTGTCTTGAGTCCAATGCACAATGAACACGCAATTGCTCGTGAGGCAATCCAATCATTTGACCCGTGTGGCCCATGCACATTGATCCACAACAACCTGTGAAATAATATTCGGAAAATAAGACGGCATAATCAGGCATTTTGTCGTTTAATTTTAAACAGATAATAGCTTAAACGGGCACGAATCTTAGATGGTCTAACCAAAAGCATTGGATAGTTTTCTTTGCATTGCCTCTGCTGACTTATCCTCTTTGAACGGCTAGGTAATATATATTAACTTCCTTTTGACTTCGGTCTCCTCCACAAAAATCGTCAGTGCTAACCATTTTGTGAGAATATAGTTCGTAAGAACCGGAGCTGTTCTTCCATTGTGTTTTCCCTATAAATTTTCATTGCCCTATCTACCAGACAGTGCATTAAACTCTTTTCCACGTTGAGCGGTACAAAGCTGTAAACTGGATGAATTGGCCTTTGCAAGTTGTCTTTCCACACACTGAGTCATCTGATCCACAACTCGGAGAGAAAACTAGAAATACCAGTTTGTTCCATTTTGCCTGTTCGCCGAGCTTGGCAATTTGTTTGCAAACGTTTCATCACCAGCCGAGGTGACACCATCAGTGCTTGTGAAGTGGCAGTGTTCTGTCTGTAACCGTTCGTTTATATATGCGATCTTCTCCATCGGCTATTTTCGTCCCCTGTTCTCGCTGTGTTCGACTCGGTCCGCCGTTGAACTGTTGCTAGCGGGTGGGGGTGGGAGGGGATGAAGTTGTCCTTTCATCCCGATTACGGCTTTCGTTCGTTCTCAGGTCACGGCGTGACCTTTGTTGCGGCATTGGTTATCGACCAAGCCCGGTCAAAACACGCCAGAGAATTTCTCGAGGCCTGGCACTCTTCAGCCAACTCAATAAACAGGCACATCGAACTGGATCACGTGTACACGCC